TATATGATTCTATTTTCTTCAAGGTTGTACTTTGTTGGTCGAACACACTTATTGTAAGTCGCTTTGGATAAAAGCGTCAGCTAAATGCAATGTCATGTAATGTAATGTAATACTGAGAAAACAAGCTTAAACAAAGCTTGCACTGTTATTAATGGTTGATCAATCTTTGACGTCCTTGTTTCCGCTAAGAAACATTGAAAGTATTACATGGAAAACATGCATTTTATACAAGGTTTGTCTTGTGTTTACCCTGGAACATGGGGCTTATCTTCCTCCAGGCGGTCAACCCACTCTCACTGGTGTACTGGCCCAAAGCAGTCTCCAGGAAAAACAAAGGGATGCCACAGAAGAAGAGGAACACAAAGTAAGGGATGAAGAAGACGCCTGCAAATATATAGATGAAGAAGAGTCGTATTTGATGTAAGGATCCACAAATATTGGCATGCTGCACACACATATAAACACATGTGGGATGAAAGGGCCGATTCTTAATTAAATACATCTTTGCTGGATTTACACAATCTTCCATTCTACTTGGAAAATAACCCCTCTACAGATTCATGAACCATAACCAAAGTAAACAATTGTTTTCGGATTCAGAATACATGTATCCGTCCCAAAGAGGGGAAATTTACATTGTTACAGCAAAAGTGAAATTAAGAGGCATGCATAAAATATTAAAGATAAAAATACAATTAACAAAAACACACATGCAGGGACAACACAACGTAATAGTAACAGTATTTAAACTGATAATGAGTGTAGCTAGTATAAAGTAGTGTGATAAGTATAAATGCGATATTTGAAATGTGTTTTGATTTTGAGGACAACAATGGAAATGAAATTAAACTGTGTTGGTTTTCCTGGGTGTACATGCACATGTGGACACACAAACACATCCTCAGCCCACATCTGTAAATCCACCTTAGCATCTGGACCATACATCCAAACCAGGTTCCTCACCTCCTCCATTTTTGAAGCACAAATAGGGGAAACGCCAAACATTCCCGAGGCCAATGATTTCTCCAGCCATGGAGAGCAGAAACTCCGTCTTGTTGGCCCATTTCTCCCTGGGCTTACCCTCTTCCACATGAGCGCCTTTTTCTGGCCCCGACACTGGAGCAGGGGCCCCTCTGGCAATTTTCTCAGACATGGTCTCTCAGTCTATTGTATGCATAATAAACACAAGTGAAATGCAACCATGTCTGTGAGGTTCTCTCCAGCTCTTGTGCATGGGAACAAGATAAAAGGCACTTTATTAACAGTTTTATTAAATTATCCTTCTTTGTTTGAGTCTATGCCAAAAACATGAAACTCCCAAACGACTTACTGCTATAGACCTCTAAGAAATAACTCACTGAACATCTGTGAAGTTTGAAAAAACAAAACATGAAAACATAATTAAACATGTTTAGCTTCTTGGGAAATATTTAAATGTGTAACTCACCAGTGAGCTGCAGCAAGCGCTTCAATACAACCTGACACAGAACATTGAGAAAAAGCTTTCTTCTGAAAAAGGGCGTGTCCTGGGCTGTACCCTCTCACGTACTCCCCTCTATGGTACACACACACACACACACACACACACACACACACACACACACACACACACACACACACACACACACACACACACACACACACAAAAACACAGAAAAAAAAACGGTCCGCCCTCGCGTAAAAGTAATGTAACACAGGCATTTCTAAAAGTCACTTCCAAAAAACTATGCATAATCACAAGAAATCAAATCTGTATATTTACAAGCTACTGTACTTCCAAACTACCCAGCAAAAACATTTCAACTGCAAGCTGAGAAATGCCTTTGGATTTAGATTGTAGGTGATTGTGCAATACTCTTTTTCTATGCAAAGGCACTGTACCAGGTGTCTACTTCTATACGCACGGCACAACCTTTAATGTGATTATTATCTATGACATTTTACAAAAATGCAAACATTTATTAAGTGCAGTACAGCGGTGTAAAGTAAATAAGTATGTATGTAAATTCAATTTTGAGGTAATTGTACTTTATTGGAGTATTTCAATGTTTTGCTACTTTGTACTTCTACTTCACTGCCATTCAGAGGTAAATATTGTACTTTTACTTCACTACATTTATTTATAATACCTTTAATTACTTTACAGATTTTGATTAATGATGTGAATAAAATCAACACTTATGTAAGACTTTAGTTACACCTGGAGTGAAACTCCAGTGGAGAAACAAACAAGCTACCTTACAATAGACAAAGTTATTAAAAAATGATGCATCAATAATTGAAACTAAAATATGTAATATTTTATTCTGAAATGGGCCGATCTGCACAATAAGAACTTATACTTACTCTAAGTATATTTGGATGTAATTCAAATTGCAGGACTTTTACTTGTAACAGAGTATTCCTACACTCTGGTAGGCTACTTCTACTTTTACTACAAGATCTGAGTACTTCTCCCACCTCTGCTGTATGGAAGCAAACAAGAGACAGAAGTATTTGAATTTTATTAGACACCGAATTAATAGCATTGAAAATATTTGCTTTGAAAATCATGTATCTGAATTTGTTTGCTCCGAATTTACCCATGTGAAATAAAAATGTAACAATTCAAGTAAAAAAAAAATGGAGTGGTCAAATTCAGATCCCAAAAATTAAAGTGAAAAAAATTCGAATGGACATTTCAGTGTTTAAAATTCGACGTCCAAAGTTGCGATGCAGCATCATCCGGGCTACCCAGGCAGGATAAGCAATTGAGCCCGTATGCCAGGGATCACCAACTACATTTGTCCAAGGGCCAACATTTATCCAATAGACACTATCGCGGGCCAGCAATTTTTATATAGCCCAGAATTTTGAAGTTGTTGACCGGGGAGGGATTACATTTTGTAAATGTAATCAGTTTTAATGGCTTATCAAGAACTCAAACACAACATCTTGGTGTCATTCTGGACAGATCCCTCTCATCTGCACCCCACATAAAAAACATCACCGGACTGCATTTTTTGTACTGTCTTAAAACCTTTCCTTGGAATATGTTATGAATTGTAAGGTGTCCTTGGGTGCTTTGAAAGGCGCCCCTAAATAGAATGAATTATCATAATTATTTATTATCTGAAACGATGTAATAACTTTTAAAACGTTTTCCAGTCACTTGCCCCATGCATTCAGCAGCAGCAGGCCATTCACTTTGATTTGATCACGTTATGAAATGTCATCATTTCGACAATAAATAAATGCTACA